AAATTCAAAACAAAATAGATGCATAGACGCTTCTGCGAATAGTGGATGTAAAGAAGCTACAGACATAAGGTACATAAAACGGATTAAAACAATTTTCGTCATGAACACTTCATTGACACAGCACGAAAGTGTTCAAAGTGCAGCATCAAATCTTTGCCATTGCCGGCTCAGTCGTGATCACGTTCTCAGTAAAATCTGGAACCTGGTTTTTATGTTTCCAATTCCGTAAGGGACCGTTGTCAACGGACATGCCTCAGCTCAATGAAGAACAACTTCGCCGTCAGGGTTTGTCGCTATGCCACGCATAAACCTTTTGCCTAAAGTTTAAATCCGCCGATTTGTCTCGACAGACAAGAAAGAAACTACCAAAAGGAAACATGATTATTTTCTGGTGATGCAGTATCTGCTGTAGGAGAAAATTGAGATCGATAGCAACTAAGAATCATTGTCTATGATATCAATGTTGGGAGGTCCGCAAGAATTGTGCGCAGCTTCGTTGACAGGCTCAAGAATCGACAAATCTCAGACTTAAGTTAGTAGTACGACTAGCGTCGCTAGGGAAAGGAAAGGGGATCAAACAGAATATGCAACGCGGACAGAGAGAGGACAAAAGGAAAGCCTATAAATGCAAACACAAAACTGATACTATACAAATGAGGGATGGAAGCAGCTAGCTGTCAAGGACGCTTGAACGGCTGAAACGGTCGACGGAAGAAGTTTTCAGTTGCAATCAACAGCCCAGTACACAGGATTTCAAATACGATTCACAAGTTTGAGATTTCCTCACCTGCAAATGCGTATTGGATTGTCAGCAGGGCCAGGAAAGCGAGCAAAGTTTTTGCCATCTCTGCAGAACTGTTGAAGCAGCCAGACAACGCCTTTAAGTGAAAGTGACACCAGTCTTACAGAGCTAATTAATGCGTTGCGGAAGTTTTACGCTAAAGCTGTCACTCAGGGACAAAAGTCAGTCTCAGCCCAATAAACAGAGGTTATGGCTAAAAGACTCCGTTTCTCTTGGTCACGTAGTTGGCATTTAAAAACAAGTAGCAGTGAGCTGAGGACGAGAAGGGGGCAACTGGTGGAGTAACTGAGAGTTTGTGACAAATTTCTGTTAATAGATAAAATAGCAAATTGACGTTTCAGCTAAGAGCTGGTGCGCTTATCATGGAATCACGTAATCTGGCTTTGCGCTTCACACTAGATTTAATTTCCGCGATTCTTACTCGATTTTCCACCTTCCGTTGATTGCTTTCGAGAGAACTTAGTTCTAATCGGGTGATGCAGAAAAATTCGAGTTTTGTGCATGTATCTTTCTGTGGACACTAATTTAACACCCCAAAATTTCTTCAGGGGCGAATGACGTCATCTCCATGTTCGTCCATGTGCTTTCTTTGGAGTGTTATGCAATATTGCGGATTTTCGAGAGTCGAGGTAGCTTTTATTGTGGACTGTAGCGGATAACTTGTTTATTCTAAGTTCGAAGTCTGTGTTAATGGCATTTAAAAACGTTGTAGACACGTCTTCACGAAATGTGTACGATTTTTCGTACGAACAGAAAGCTGTAGTTTGGCTGCATGTTGTGTACCCTCTTCTATTTTAATTAGACCAAAACCAACGCTGCTTTCTGCTGAATAAATCAAAGGAGGAAATGTGTAGTTTCACTTTGCTGGCGTAGATTTCTGAGCGCAAATTATGTAACATAAACCCAACGGAAGTGTTCAAGTTACATAGAAAAAGCGTTCAACTCTCACAGGATTGTATTGTACGCAAACATGTCCTCCGTTTCATTGTTTCGGAAGTGAAAATGCCCTGTAGCTGTTCCCCCAAAGCCAAGGCGATTCAAAGTCGTGTTCGTAAACAGAATAACATTGTCCTAGTTTTGATGATAAAAGCACGTCGTCTCGCATACCGACGGAACAGGCATCGTTTGAGTCGATTTACACGGTCAGTATATAACACGGACTGCAGACTGTGGACTGCGGACCGCAGACTGCGGACTGCGGACTGCGGACTGCAGACTACGGACCAGGCATGAAACACGGACTTAGGTATAAAACGCGGACTGCGGACTAAATGCGGCCTACCAACTGCAGTCCGTGCTTTTTACTGACCGGTCCTAACTAATATTACGTAATACATACAAACCCTCTCGTATGCTCGTGATTGGAGCGACTGTCCACGAAGTGGAAGCCGCCGTGGGTGCGGTAGTACATGACGCCAATGCCTACCGGTTTTGGCCGTAATCTTTACCAAGGTAGTCATTGTAGTTTCGCTTCTCGCTTGGAATGGCCTTCAGCTCTGTGGTGGAATCTTTGAAAAGCATATTGAAGCCATTCCCGTACTTGGAGTAACTAGTGGAGTTGAACAGCTGGAAATTCTTCCAATCTTTCTGATTGCTACCGTACCTGTCGCTCATGGTTGTTAAAATCGTAATGATGTCGTCGATGTTGGTGTTGCCTTTTCTTGTGACCACTGCATGCCCGGGATTATTGCCAAGATT